GCCGGTTGAATCAAACACTCTACATGCAACCACAAGCACATGCAGCGGTTCCCGCTCAGACTCGCCTGCTTCCCTCCGGTGACGGAGTCTCTGCTCCAGCTTCTTCCGGCGATGTCCTTATCCGAACAGATTCCCGGACCGTCCCACATATTCTATTCACCAACCCTCTTCATCCCCTCCCATCATGATTTTCACATCCCAGCCATAAAATAAAAGCAAAAAGCATAAACTACATGTCAGTGACGGCTGTCTCGAGCCTCTCTCGCACATCTCTGACTCTATCTGTTCGAGGACTTTTCGGTCAGTTATCTCCAACACCAGCGAGTCCAGGAAGCCCTCCACCTGTCGCAGCAACTGCTTGCGGGTCATCTCGTTCGTCACTCCATCATTCACCGTCACCGTCATCTTCATATACTTCATCTGAGCGCCCGTCAGGTATGCGGGCAAGGTGTGCCCAGCAAACCTCCCGTCACTCGCCCGTGAGCGGAAGGCCACAGTGCAGTTGTACTCCCGCGCCACGCGGTGCTTCAATGTCAAGCCATGAAAACGCATCTCCATGTGTAACGGAAAGCCCCACTGAAGCATGTCCGGGACTCCACCACGAGACACACGCCTACCTTTCAGAATAGGCTCTTGCCAAGGCTCCAAAAAAAAATTCTCTCTTCTGTACATTCTCTCGCTTTCCCGCCATGAGTCCGCGCCAAGACTGCAGAGTTAAGTCGTCCTCTTGGCCCGTTGGTTTCCTTTCCTGTGTACATCTGTCAGGTAAGTTTGCTCTACATCTTTAGACTCTCTCTGTTTTTCCTAGCACGGCTCGTATGCTCTCTGGATGTACCGCTTGCCACGCTTGTGTATGCATGAACACATGTATTGCATCAAGTCCAACCGCTGGAGCCGCCATGATTCCACGCGTGCTGCTGTTTCCTCTGTGCATCTATCAAATCCAAACTTCATATCTTAATTTACTTCACGCCTTTCTATACTGTGCCGCACGCGACTCCCCCGGTCCAACACCCCGCAGCCACCTCTTCTCCTCGGAGTATATCTTCTCGCCTCAAGACGCATGCAAGGCGCTGTCTTCTAATTCAAACACAACTTTCAGAAGCTCTTTGATATGCATCAACACAACAGTCCCGAGAGTACTCTCAGATAGCTCAGCCCCATTATGTTAACATTCACCAGGTGTATATGTGTGTGGTTTATAAAGACGTTGCTGAGCTACATTACGTTCAGCTGAACCAGATGTCTCTCATGTATATACACACGTAAAAGCAAGCCTCTATCAATCCATTCAACACTTCCTGTTCCAGCCGTCCCCGCGTCCCCTGCGGTGCGTGCGCGGTGTGCTCCGTTGCGTGTGGTCACTTCCTACACTACTCTTCTTCAATGGTGAGGCAATCCTAAACCACAAATACACACATGATATTTTCATTCCCGCAATCGATACATTGTATAAATCTATGTCTGATCGATTCTTTCACAATATCGAGGACTTCAACTATTCTGCATTGGACGCATTCATTCAGACAGCTGTGTATACTGTCTCACTCTCCAACACACGCCTCGTCCCAATCCTCATCCTGCGGGTGTCCTGCATCCAGTTCGTGTGCGCCTGAGCGCGAGACGCGAGCTGCGCGCTGACTGATCCGAGCAACAATAACTTCAGGTGATGTCTGCGCGTGCCCTACATGAGCGCCTACGTCTTGGCACTGCTGGTCCTACACCCATTTCCAAGTAACAGTATCGATCAGCCTTTTGTCGCCATCGCTTCCACCGCGTCGCTCACAGTGATCTTGGGACTCCACCACACAGATCACCGCATCCGCCGCGTCGCTCACAGGGATCTTGGGACTCCACCACACAGATCACGGTTGTTCAAAATTTGACAGATGAGCCTACGCCGCGGATGGCTGCCCAATATTCACGCTAAGGTGAAAGCTGGATGTATCTCGTAGCACACGTGCCCCGCCCTGTCTAGCGGCGCAGTCGCCCGCAGAGTGTCGTACAGCCTCCACTGTTCTCTGTCTACGCAATACAGCTTTCCACTCTCCAGCAGTTCCACTACGCCCGCATAGGTGAGACTCACAGGTCGCAGCACCACCGTGCCCATTTCTATTCCCCAAGCTTCCGCTGCCGAGAGTGCTGCGTGGTCGGCTCGCTTCTTCAGGGCCCAGTAGCGACATCGCTGTCTCCCCACCGGTGGTCGAACTTGTCCCGTCTGCTCAAATTCCACGGCTTGACTCTCACTCAAACCCACGAACAGGCGCAGTGCGGTCCCTCCATGTCCTTGCAGAGATCCACCCTCCACAGGCGGGTGCGCTGCGCCGACGGCGATGAGGGTGTCACCAGAACGCTCATGGCCACCCGTGGCGGGGACTCCACCACCTGCCACCTCCCCGTGCGTGGACGTCACCATGTCGGAGACCAAGCGTGCTATCGGGTGCTATCCTGTCTCCTGTAAACAGCTCTGCCAGCACAAAAACACTTCGGATGCTGTTCTCTTGCTCAAACTCGAACAAACATACTCAAACTCCATTCTTTGTCGTCTTCAACCCGTCTCACATGTGTCTAAATTTGACACACCCTCTGAGTATTGCAATCTAACTGACACTTGTCTAGAGATATCTATGCTAAAAAAAATCTCTACAATAATCTCTACATATAACTTTAGATGTAAGTCAAAGCCACTGCATGGCAAAACCTCTATCCTACCGCTGACAACGCGCGGAAGCTCAAACGTATTCTCCAAATTGTTTCAATTCAAACAAAGTACATCAACGCGTTCTCGCGCTCTTTTTCGATGCGCAGTCGTGCGCGACGTCGGCTGCGCGGCACTGTGCCACAGACGGTTGTACGGGGGACATCACCACCACATACCCTGCACATGCCTCTCCTGCTCATGCCGGGGACTCCACCACCTGGCACAAACGCTCAAAAACCTTCTCACGCCACCGTGGTCGGGCCGTGCACCGCGTAGTACGGATGCCCCTGATCATCTCGTGGAGCCGGCACTCGTAGCGGTGCGTAGAGTCGCCACTGGTCTGCGTCCACGGGATACAAGTGTCCCGACTGCAGCATCCGCAGCAGTCCCACGTGCGTCACGGAAATCGGGTGCAAAATGACATCCCGGCCAGCCATCCCATCATGCCCATCCAGCGCGCTCTGCACCGCGGCCTCCGCGCGGGTCTTCAGTGGAAAATACCACTGTCCCTGCCGTCCTTGCGGACACTCCACCTGACCCATCCGCTCCAGGTGCAAGTCTTGGTCTCTGTTCAGACCCACCCACAACTTCAAGGCAACACCTCCGTGCCCCACGCATTCGCCTCCTGGCACCTCCGGGTGCACCTGCCCGGCGGGGACTACACCACCTGCCGCCGCATATCCAGCGGACATGGCCCGGTCTGTCGCTCGCTCGCGCTCTCGGCACAGACTTTCTCACAAGCCAAAATGCTCTGCGGTATTCGGTTTGCTGGCACACTTTCTCACAACCCACAATGCTCTGTGGTCTTCCAAGTGCTTGCACACACCATAATACCGTCTTTTGCTCTCTTTTGACTTCAACGACACTGAGGTCCCCGCCACAGCAGGGATGCGGGCACCGTCTCTCCCAAAATGGCTGCAGTCGAACGTGTGAGAAACTATGTGGGTTTCCCGAACACACACAAGCATTTCATACAAGACTTCTCGTCCAAAGGTCGCGCCGATCTGGGACACTCTTGTAGGACACTCTTGCGGGACACTCCTCCTCCTTCGTACGAAACGCTGCGAGGCTGCAAGACGAGCGTTTCGTACGAGACTTCCTCCAAAAGTCACGCGTCAAGTCTCAAAAACGAGCGTTTCGTACGAGACTTCCTCCAAAAGTCACACGTCAAGTCTC